AATCCTTTGTATCGCCATCTCCATCCCGATGTACATTATCCCGATTGCGAGTACAAACATCGGCGCCCGCTACTTCTCCATGATGATCCTGCCTTTCGCCTCCGTCGGTCCCCAGCTTCTCCTCTACAAGACCATCAACCTGCATCTTGCACGACCCATCTCGAAGCGAGCGGCTGCCTCTGCTTTGGTCAATGCCATCGGTGGTACATCCAACATCTGGGCCTCATACTTATACTTTGGCGAGCCTCATTTCTATGCGGCCTTCGGTACGCTTATGGGTGCTGCCATCTTGTTCGGATTTACTATCACTGCATACCGCTGGCTCGTTTTGCGCGAGAACAAACGTCTGGACTCGGGTGACCCAGTGGAAATAGCCAAGGTGGTCAAGGGTGGTGTCACAGAGGAGATGGTACAGCTCAACTGGCGCTACGAGATGTACTGATAAATCATTGCGTTATTTTGTCTCATTTTACTCATGTATTGCTGGGATCAGTATATGGGTTTATGTCACTTGGTTATGGTATGTTTTTAGTTTAGGGAAATGGATATAACAATGGTAATATACTTGAGACTGATTGGATTGATCAAATTTGCGACTGTTTTCCCCCAAGTCTCACTTGCAAAGACATGTAGTATGTCGCCTTGTGATTTGCTGCTGTCTTCGCAAGTAGTACTTCTGAAATGAAATCTTCAACCTCGGAAGCATTTTCTCTTTATTCTTTATTTTTAAAAGCAAGAGCACTGTCAATCTTCCAAATGCGCAAATAAAATTGACTTCAATTTTAGAATCTATTTTAATCCTCCAGCTAGAAGGAGGCTCTGACCCGTCATATACCCGGTCTTTGCTAGCATAGTAACAACGTTCGCTGTTTCTTCTGGAGTCCCCAGCCGCTTGAGAGGAATACTCGCTGCCACTTCGGGGAATGCCGCGGCAGAGGAAAGCATCCCTGTATCACCGATCATAGCTGGGGCGACGTCGTTGACACTAATATTGTACTCTGCGAGTCGGGTTGAAAGATTCTTCATCATACCGGTAAGACCACCCTTGGAGGCTGCGTAGTCTAGAATGGGAAATTTAGTTAGCGATTGCCTTGGGAAAAGACTAATGCATCAAAGACAGTGGATTGACTCACGACATCCGTTAATGCCTCCACCTTGGGCGGCGATGGAGGACATGAAGATGATCCGCCCCCATTTCTGGGCCTTCATGTGCTCAACCACCCCTTTGACAAGAATGAAGGCAGCGCGAAGGTTGATGTTCATAGTATAATCAAACTCCTCAATCGAGATATCCGACACATCAGGAATTCGCTTGCCATATCCGGCATTTGATATAAGAATATCTGGTCGTTGGCCGTGCTCGAGATCAATTTGTTGAAACATAGCCTCGATTTGATCGCTAGACCCAACATCAACCTGGTGAATTGAAATGCGAAGACTCTGTGCGGCATTCTTGGAGTGTATCTCTGCGACAATGCTGTTCAAAGATGTCAAATTGGTCGAGTAGGTCAAGGCGAGATGAACTCCATGTTGTGCAAGTTGGTGTGCGCAAGCTGCACCGATTCTGAAGTTAGAGAATTGACGCAAATTAGCTTCAGGTCCTTGTATAAACGGGATCGGTGCCATGCTTACCCTCCCGATGCGCCGGTGATTACGGCCAATTTACCTCGAATGCCGTTAAATGCCATTTTTGCGATTATAGGAAATGCAAGTACAATGATCCGGCAGAGAGATCAGGACCACAATATTACCCCGTTGATATGATGCTACCCTTGCAAGCAGTTCCTGATAGTCGGACTGCAGGTCGCATTGCCACGTATAACGCGGAGTAGGTAAAGTGGGTTCAAGAAGGAGCTCCTCCCAACGCTAACAGCCCTAAGGATAGTCAGTGCTAAGGTTATTCAAATTCAACCTCGCTATCTTTCCTTATCGATCCTGAGTTTACGTTTCTTCTCCAACTATTTTTCCCCCCACAAAGATGGTCAGATAGTCGCGTGCATGGTGGTTATACTAAGGTGGGAGATTCGACCCTAACTGCTCCATCTGGGCAACTCGGGGGCCCGCGATAAGCGATAAAGGGAGGTTGATATTTAGAGACGAGACATAGAACTTGCATTCATATTTAGATTTATTCGGATTATTCCGGGTCTAAATATATGTAGCGTTACGGTAGTCACGAGTGTAGCTCGAACTACGACGTCAAACATGCGCATCGATATCAGTCACTCAGATAATATAGGAATCGGCGCTCGAACTAATAAAACTTTTACTATAGCTAGGTGTATATAAATAGCCATTATAGACCTTAATGTGGAGTGTCTACACCAAACAATATATCCCGAACTATGACTACTCGTAAAGGCCGGGAACGTGGCAGACGGCTAATTCATAGATTCTTCTAGACTTTGTTTTCTGTCATTCCTCTACTCAGCGGCTTTTCACGTATCCCTAAAAAATGTCAGACTAGCCCTTGAGGAATTATCGACCTTTTGAGTGTGAAATATGTGTACTTTGTGGTGTGACAGTTATCGGACTGGATGGGGGAGCATCTACCTTGAATCCACTAAATGTGCTCGAAGAGATTCAATGGGAAATCCATCGCAATCAAGCCTCAATTCCTGAGCATATTCTAGTGCCATCGATCGAAGTGGAGAAAAAGAATTTCTCCAAATTTCCTTGGTTATTATTTTGCTATCATCGAGCGGGTAAGTGACGCTTCCCTTCATGTACACTCAATCCGATGTGCAAAATATGCATAACATGCTATCCGTGTTTGCATTGGAGAAACCGATTAAAATCCAAACTTGATCTATTCTTCGAGGTGGATTTGCTAGGAGAGACCGATTCAGTTTGATGGGTCTTATTTCCGATGAATGGTTTAGCTCTAGTGGATTAGCAAACCGCGAGCGAGTACTTCGATTAATTAGGCCGATCATCGCAATTTTTCAACAAATCTGACAGAAGAGAAGTTTTGCTCATAATATCACAGGTTTCCTGTTCTTTCTCGCTTCATAATTACAATATGAAATGCGCTGATATTCTATGATTGCCTGAGGCATCAGTCGTCAATACTTCAAGACACGTGATGTTATATGTCTTGTGTTTTTTTTTTGCAACAAACGTCACCTACGTTTTCATGTATGCATTGCCCAACGTAAATTCAATCAAATATTCAGATCCCGAAGATCAAGGATCTTGGTCTGTGAAAAGCGTTGATTCTTTGATTCCTTAAATACCGAGTTGGTCATTTTTAGCGCATCCCCGAGTACTTAGGCATTACAGTGGCCACCCCGTGTCCGACATGGCCGATCCCCGCCATAGCTCCTACAGGGATCTGGCCAAGAATTATCAGAAGCAACTGGATACCCTACTAGAACAGGGGATCTTCAGGCCAGTTTTCCTGTATCATGTTATCATCCTCCACATTTTACCTTTGATAGGTTTGGCCATTCCCCGGAGCAGGGGCGGACAATATGTTCGAAAGGGCATTTTCGTCCTCTGTATTGCAATTGCAATTGAAATTTTACAAAACCGACGGGCAATCACAGGAGGAAATGGCTACATGCTTGGCCTGGTTACCGCTTGGTGGTTAGTATGGAATGCCACCTTGTTTGTGTTTACAGACATTGAACACGATTTCAAGCGCATTGAACGGAAACCTGTCAATGTCAAGTCTCAAAATGATACCAAGATTGAACTTAGTACTGTCAAAAAATCGCTTGACTCAAACAATCCAACATGCACAGAACGGGGAAGCAACCTTTTTGTTTGGCGGTCATATCCTGAAAATTTCTGGCATCGCCTTGAATGGTCCGCTGGACTACTCTTCAATATGAGAGGGCCAGAATGGAACTGGCGCGCTTCCCATCTGGGCCCTCTTCCACGACCAATTCATGACCAATTACATTCAGGATTCATTAGCAGAATCAACGCACATGAACCCTCCACCTATCCCAGCGGCAAACACCGATTGCAGGCTGCGTTTCGGAAGTTCCTCATATCCTACCTTGTACTGGACATTTTGAAAGTCATCATCCTGATGCCAGATCCCTACTTTCGAGGCCTCGCTCCAGCCAATTCACTGTCACCATTTCCTTTCTTCTACTTCACAAATCTCCCATTGCATCCCATCATAGCCCAGCTCTGTCGTCGTTTATACAGCGCCATAAGTGTGTATTTTGCCCTCGAGTTTGTGACATCACTCAATCCGATCTTCTTCCTGGGGCTATCCCTCGCATTCCCCAATGGGGCTAAGAAGCTGACCGCCGCACCATTGGCTGCTCCATGGTTGTATGGTGATTCATTCGGGCCATTCTTCATCCCGGTCCTTGACGAGGGATTGGCGGGCTGTTGGAGCCGTTGGTGGCACCAAATCTTCCGGTACGGATTTGTAGCTTCAGCCCGCTGGATCCTGTCCGTACTTCCGGCCGGCTTAGCTTCCCATCTGCAAGTCCGTCGTGTCATTTACGTGGTGGTGGCTTTCTGTCTTAGCGGCTTTGTGCATGCCTGTGGCAGCCATACTCAGATTGCAGATACATCCCCCGTATCCGGGACATTCTTATTTTTTGCTTTGCAGGGTGTTGCAATCATGGCAGAGCAGTTTTTCAAGACATCGATCCTCCCGAAATCGCCCTTTGCTAGTGCGCCGAGATGGCTGAGACGAACGGCAAACTTTGTGTTTGTATTTTGTTGGTTGATGGCCTCAGGTGGCCTCGTCGCAGACGACTTTGCGAAGGGTGGGTTATGGTTGATGGAGCCTCTTCCAATTAGTCCACTCCGTGCATTGGGATTTGGACTACAGGGCCAAGGTTGGTGGTGCTGGACTGAGCCCTGGTTCCGGTACTGGAGTGATGGTACATACTGGGGGAGTGGCATACGGGTGTTATAGAATTTATATATCTAGAGTTTCAGGTTACTTTCGAGAGAGCCTTGAAGTCATTGATTGCATTTCCATGAGATAGATTACATTGGAACGTTTATAAGACCTATAATTACATCGTCTACCCGTCCATTGTGACATCGTCATCCTCTTCATCGGTGTCCGAATCCATATTTAAGGTGGGCATTTCATCACCGCTGTCTTCCTCCTCCTCTGGAGCCTGTGTGGTCACGGTCGTAGATGCGGTGGACACCTGCGTTGAAACCTTGGGGGCCTCGGCGTTGGTTATTGTAGGAGCCGACTGAGAGAAAGGCCGTTGGCTCGAGGTGGTTGAGATAATTTCGTCGAATCGCGCCTTCTTGATCTGAACCTCCTGCTTCTGCGGTGTTGGCTCCTCGGCTGTGGATTCCTCGGTGTAGGTCCGCTTGTGGAAAGTAGGCACAGGAGTTGCGGTCTTCGAATCGTCTGACTTTGGTACTTGCAAGGGCGCCGACACAGGTTGCTTCAGGAATTCAGTAGTCTTTGGGGCGGCGTTGTATCCATCATCGGCCATTTCCTCGTCTGCTGCTTCTTCGTCTTCGTCGACATAGGCGTCAAGCTCGGGCGCGGTCATCAAGATTGGCATCCTGGGACGGACCAGAGCCTCCACCTCCATCTGATCAGCATAAGGCCTAGTCAAGAATGGAATGATGCTCGATCCTGCTCCACGGCCCTTGACTGCCGGGACAGGGTTGAGTACGCTGGCAAACATCGCATTCTTGTCGGAGGTCAAAATGACGGAGCGGTCCATTTCAGCCCTGATGGAGGGCGGAACAAGCTCGGCGGGGATAGAAAGGAACACGGCCTGCAAAAGCCCGGATGCATTTTGCTGAACTTCCAAAAACGGAGAGACTGATTGTGCCTGACGGGATTTCTGAAGATCAGGGTTCAAAAAGGCATCTGCATTAGCTGTTCCTTGTCCGCCCTTTGACTTTGCTTTAGAGTCAGAGCCTGAATTACCCGTGGAGCTGGAATCTCCAGTCGATGGCAACAGATCATTGCAGCAAGAGCGTAGGACGTTCGTCAAAGATACCACGCTCTGTCTCGTCATCGCAGGTCCGTTCACTGGCACCAGAGAACGAAGCAAAGCATAGACTGCCGAACGCAGGTCTCTATTGAACTTTTCGCCCTTGAAAGTCCAGACAGCCTGCTCTAGAATAGTCTGTGTTACTGAGGTCGCGCTGGTGGCCAAGATGCCGACGACGTGGGAAAGCAAGCTCATGCATGCAATGTGAATGCGAGGCAGCTCCATCCAAAGTGCCTCTCGTTCGTCACGGCTAATTTCCTGGTTGAACTGGATACCAGATTGAGACGAAACAGCACCGTTTGGAGGAACAGTGACAGAAGTAAGTCGGGAGGTTAAATCAAGGATACAGCCAATCGGAAGGGCAACTGCAGCTGCGGATGGCATCGCGATGAAATCAGAGAGAATCTGCAGAAGCGCAACCAACCTATCCACGCCCGAGTGCAGTCCACTCCAGCCTGGAAGTCCAAGACCATCTGGGCCCCCGTCGCCCATTTCTTGGCTGTAGTTTGGGCGTGTGTGCACCAGAGTCGCATCGACAGACTCCCACTGCTCTACAACGGCTCGGAAAACGTGGTCTGTAGTTCTGTGGATGGACAAAATCGTCGACTTGCAATCATCCTTCCATCCAGAGCCCGCCTGGTCCTTGGGTGCGCATTTGTGGAGAGAGACAAGCAGCTGCTCAGCTACGTCGATCACCTGCTCCGGGAAATACGCAGGCGAGGAAGAGCCAATTACTTCAACGAGAAGAGTTCGAAGCTGGGCACCAAACGGACGGAAGAGGGTGACATGTCTTGGGATCAATTCCAGCAAGGCGTGCAGGACAATTTCCATGAATGGAGTGTTGGGCTTCGGCTTTCGGACTGAACCCGAGGGAGTCTTCGTGATGGTTGAGACCAGGTTCAAGGCGGCGGTAATGAATCCAGGAAGCTGCGGGGTTGTAATCTCACGGACAAGTGTTGGGTACTGGTATGTGAGGTGGAAGATACGAGTGAGTGTGATAATACACATCTTTCTCGTGGAGATTGGATCCGGTTTCTAGAAACGCATAAGTCCTGGAGCCAACAAAGGTAAATACCGGGTTTGGATCAATCCATACCGAGAGGATGCTGATCAAGCTGCGAACAATAGGCTCATAGCCGCGCAGCATTTCCCATTGACCGGCTTCAACTGTAGCTTTCACCAGAATAACGGCGGTCCATCTTCCCTCAACACTGCGGTCCTGCAACAGACTGGCCAGTCTAGTCTTCAGTTTGTGAATTTGGACGGCATTGTCGGAGTCCGATTTGCCAGATTTCTGGGTTTGAGGAGTAGAGAGCAGCTCAGCGCAATCGTTCAATGAAGTCGCAAGGAACGAAGCTATCGGGGGTAATTGCTCGACCGGGGTAGTTGTCAGGCGATGCGTGATGGCGCGCAAAGTAGTGGAGGACATGGCTATTGGTGCAGACCTATATAACAGGTCTTAATTCCAAAAAAAATAGGCCAATTAATAGAAAAATAAGAGCAGACAAAAGACGAAAGTCTTATCGATAACTTTTTTTTTTCATCAAGAAGCTCGGACCAACATCAACTGTCGTTAAATTACCGTCACGTACGTAATCGCTCTCCACCCCTGGACGATCATCGGGCTTCAGGCTGACGATGTTGGCGATGCTTGATTGCTCTTCTCCCTTTTTAAATCATTCACAACTCTCCTGAATCATGGCTGTAAGTTTCCCCCTTCTGTCCCCTTCAACAAGTGCTTGTTTTCATTTCTTCTAAATCGTTGATACCACCCAGTATTTATGTTGACACGTGCGAACCAGGGAGGCAATGCCGACAAAGGGCAGGGCTACATCGCGGCCTTGGACCAGGCGCGGAGTCAAGGCAAATGGGATGAACTCCCTGAATTGATCCGAAAAGTCACCAAACACGCACCACAAAAAACTTGTACGCCACCGGTCCCTAGTTTCTTGATCTCAACCTAACCGAGCCGTCTCTAGGCCTGATACAGACCGCAACTGCGGAATCGCGTGTGATTGCATATCTTCAACAAAAGTCCTCCGGCGACTCATCTTCTTCCTCGCCGAGTCTCGCCGAGCTGATTCCGGCCCTATTGATCACAATTGAGACTAATGACGGATCACCACAAGAATTATTGCAAGCACAAGTCTGTCTCGGGTGGATTCATTGGGCTTTGAACGAACCTGGACTTTCGGCAGCGCGTCTTCCTAAGGATTTCGCGGTAACTCTTGATAGCTTGGCCGGGGGAGGAGAGCAACTTACCTCGTGGACCGAGGTCTGTTTAGTCAAGGGATGCTACATCAAGGGTATGTTTACTTTGTTTACGTTGTTTACTTCCGGATCTAGCCATTACCGTATCTGACAGAAAGCCAGCAACCGCACAATCCACCGCTGCAGACATCGATGACGCATTGGAGACATATTCATCTCTAATTCCGTGGCTAAGCGGCGGCAAATTAGCCTCGGTCACCACGCCGCAATTCCTGAACTGGTCCGAGTCCCTTCTGGGCAATGGTGCTCTTTTAGCCAGTGATGAAGTGACCAAACATGCACCCTATTCAAATCCTAGACACGCAGATATTGCCTTGCGATTGCTTAGGTTGTGGGCGACTCATCCTGCCGTGAAACACGGGGTCTCTGCTAACAACCCATCGACTGTGGATTCTTTCGGCCTGGCTCCCCGAACATTGGTATGGACTACTTATTACAAGCTTCTCACAGCGGTCCTACAGGGCGGGGTCACATACACCGGCCCCAATGATGGACCGGAGCGCCCACAACTTGCCAGTGAATTGCGCCGTGTAGAGACTATCTACGAGCGCAATCTTCTCTCTGAAGTCATGTTTCCTACGGCCAGCTCGCATAACTCGCAAGTTGAGGAGTGGGTGGAGCAGGTGATCAGTAACTGGGAAGTCTTGTGTGGTCCCGAGTGGCAGGACTCGGACCTCGGCGAAGGAGGTCAGAACGCAGTTGGTCGTAATGTATTGGAGGTGAGTCCAAAAACATATCTTATGAAATCACATGTGCTAACATCCCTTGTCCTAGATTCTGTACCGGGCAGCGGCAAAGTCCTACCACTCTCCTTTGGTGCTTCGACGTCTCTTCCATGTTCATTCTGCTTTGGCAGACTTTGACCTCGCTGTGAAGGCGCTCGATTCCTATATCGAGATTGTCACTGCAGCCAAAGAAAGGGCAGAGAAGTCTACTGCATACGGGGAGCTGGAAAAGGATGAAATATTGCTGCAAACGCTCTCTGAGGGAGTCACATTATTGAGCTGTCTTGGCTCATTAGAAGAGGCAGAGAAAGCCCGAGATCTGACTGAAATTATAAGGGAGTATATCGATAAGCACAATACGCCTACCACCAACGGTCAGGTCAATGGCAATTCTACGAACTTGCCAAACATCCCTCCCTCCGTGCTGGCCTCCTCCTACCGAGCTGTCGGCGTTGGACTTGCCTGCTGGGCAAGCTGGACTCCTGTGACTGAATCACGCGATGAAATCAGAGCTGATGCGATCGAATACCTCGAAAAGAGTCTTGCTCCAGAATTGGGAAGTAGCTCAAACTATGCCTCACTTTACACCCTAGGCCTTGTACTGGCCGAGAACAGAGATTTGGACACTGCAATTGACTATGTCAAGTCAGCTCTGACGCCAAGTACTTCGTCTCCTGTGCTATCTGATGATCTTTCCAAAGAACGTGACTTGGTATCTCTGTGGCATCTGCTTGCACTGCTGCTAAGTGCGAAGCAGGAGTTCGAGATTGCTGGGCGCTCATGTGAGGCTGCATTCGAGCAGTTTCCCCGAGAATTATTCTCGAAGGGTCATCGCGAACGGCATTCATCAAGGAATGCCCAAAACCCCAACCAGCGCCCAATTGCCAGCAGATTGCAAGATAGAGAAAAAGAACGAATTGTCCAAACCCGCATCACACAGCTCGCGTTCGTCGAGCTCCTGGAAGGGCCCGAATCTGCTGTCAACCACAGCACACAATTATTGGGTCTTTTTGGCGCTCTTTTCCACGACCTGAACCTCGAGGCTGGGAGGACTAGAGCCGAGGAAGACTATCTAGTACCGCCAAAGAGCTCCGCCGGAACTACCAAGAGCTTTCGTGGAAGCATTTTCGGCCGAAACAGAACGTCCCAGTTACCAGATCGTCGTGCTGACCAGGGCAATGGTTCTGATGCCGTCATTCCACCCACCCCAGCTATCCCCAATGGTCATATGACAGAGCATCCGTCAATCCAGATCACGGATGAAGATCCTCACAGCCGTCAGGGAAGACCGCCAACGATTGGGAGAGCAGACTCCAAGAAATTGAAAAAGCGAAGTTCAAGCTTTCATAGAAACGAGAGGCCGCGTGTTGAAGAGCCCCCACTTCCGAATGGGGGTGAGACATCCGCAGAAATGGTTGGCATTGCGTTTTCTGGCAACACATCATCAGAGTCCGCGATCTATCCTACCAAAGGCAAACAGCCACTACCGACAATGGCACACAACTTGAACTATAAACAAGAAGCTCCCCCAGCCGGCCATGAGGAGCAACCCCCTATTCAGGATTTCCGGCTCCCAATCGGCCACCGTTTCGACTCTCCTACAAGCGCTGTCACGAAGTTTTCTCTAGTCCAATCCCAAAAGCACGCCTTATGTCTTCTCGTGAAAATCTGGCTTGTTATCGCAGGTCTTTATCGCCGAGCGTCTCTTTTCGACGATGCCCGTGAAGCTTGCGAAGAAGCTTCGAAACAAGCCGCGCGAGTGGAAGCACTTACGGCATCACATGAATCCTCAGCTCGATCTTTTAGCGAGCGCGGCTGGGGTGCTTCAAAGAGCTCTGAGGAGCTCTGGGCTGATGTCTACGCAGAACAGGGCCTCTTGTCCCAGGCTCGATCTAGCCCACATCAAGCCATCAGGCACTTTGAGGACGCGCTACTGCGCGACCGGGACCACCCAACAGCGACCATTGGACTTGCCAACCTTCTCCTGGACATTTGGGATCAGAAATTGGATCCAGAGCCGTCGAATGCCGACGTGGATCCTAACGCCTCACGTCTATCATTGCTGTCGGAGACACGCAAGCCCAAGTCTGCGAAGGCTATCTCAACCGACGACCTCAAGGTATCAACCGAAACCAAGAATGCGGGTCCCGACGAGGCTCCTCTATCTGCACAAGATGTTGAACCTAAGCAACTTCACCGTCTTGCGGCCCGCGATCGCGCCTATGGACTTCTTTCGGCGTTGACAAAGCTCGGAAGCTCTTGGGACAACTCCGAGGCATGGTATGCGTTGTCAAGAGCATATGAGGCTGGTGAGCAGATCGAAAAGCTGAAAGAAGTGCTCTGGTGGTGCATTGAACTTGAGGATCGACGCCCAATTCGGCACTGGTCCAATATCGGTTCCGGTGTCTATGTCCTCTAATGACGGCAACAAAATTCTGTATCTTCTTGTATCTACTGCATTCCCCCCCCCCTCTAGCAACGGATTTTCTCTCGTTTCAACGAGATACCTTGTTTATACTATGAGGGTTATCATCACTACAATTTTTATTGAAGCGCAATCTTGAAAACGGACTTTCTTCGTAAAAAAAAATAAGCACTACTGGCGAAACGTCTTTATATACATTTCCCAAATCAACAAACGAGTTGTCAATGGGTTGAAAGGGGAGAACGGGATCAATTGAACAACAAAAACAAGTGGATTGATTCTGCTACTGCAAATAAATCTACCGCGGAGCAGCGGTGGGAGTCCACGCAACAATCTTGGGCCGGGTGCTAGAGTGACGTTAGTCGATGCACGGGAAAGACCAAAATATTGTACACAGGAATATTGCACGTACGTGGAGTAAGTCTTGAATGCACCGCGGCTCTGGGTCGGGTTGGTGCGGTGGTCGGACAGCTCCCAGGGACGGAAACCGGACTGCATGATCTTGTCGGCGGCCGGGGGCGCGTCAACGAGGTAGGAAATCCAGGCATGCCTTAAATAGGTTAGTTCCACACCATCGCAGGTGAATTGTTGACCCAGTATCTCGAGAGAAGCGCTTACCAGCCAGGCTCGATCTGGGATGCATCATATTCAGCCTCCTTGTAGTCGACCCATCGTGTTCGGACTAAACGGGGAAGTACAATTAGAACCTCCTTTTTCAATGTGATAGTATGAGCTGAAGTGTCTTCTTACGGGGCAATTCCTCCATGTTCTCGAAATATTTGTTTCCAAAGCGGTCGGTTCCGATCAGAGCTCCGGCCTTGGTATCACCTGTAGGAGCGTATTGTTAGTCAACTGCTGGGTAGAAATTGATAGAGTGGCAACGCACCAATGTTCTATATCGCAGCGAACAGGGACATAGGTTAGTCTCGAGCTCATTCAATTGACCTGTTCCGGGGGAGGCGTTCGTAACCGACCTGCATCTGGTGGGCGGCATCCTGTACAAGTGTG